CCCCCCCCCCAAAAAAAAAAAAATTATTAGTCACTAAGAGCGACTAAAGTCTACACAAGCGTTTTGTCGTTATCGGAAAATTTATGGCTTATAAGTTGTCATTACTCATTAGTGAATGCGCGTATACATGAAACTGTTTTTTACAGTTTCAATATTAGTTTGTAAATCTCTGAATGGTAAAACTTGCCAATACTCCAATAATACGTTTCAAAAAAAGATAAAAAAGCTTTAGTTTTGCAGAGTTAAATTCTCAAACGTGTAAAGCACTAATAAGATGAAAGTATCCGGAAATTATTATAAGTAATATCATGAAATGAGGAGTATTAGTCATTAAAACACCCGCTCGACGAGGGTTGACCCGATCGAGTCGAGCGGGTGGTTTAATGACTAATACTCCTCATTTCATGATATTACTTTGTAATATTATTTTTGCGTGAATTTCACCCAAATCAGTGTTCAGACACTGTCAATGATGTCGGCGGAGCGTTATAAGACGATAACAATTAAATGTTTGTGTGTTTTTCAGTGCATAATTTTGTGATAATTTTGCTCAAACTTTCCAGGTGATGTGGTTATACTAATACGACCCGTAGTGACGTCAACTGAGGTCGTATTAGTTCTAATACGACCTGTACATTTGAGTAGGCGAGTGAATTAGTTACTAATACAGCACAATAGAACAATAGAAATTCACGCAAACATGATATTACAACAAAATATCGATAACTATGTGTGACGTTTCTAGGGGGGGGGGTCTCCAGAGAAACGTCCACATGACGTTTCTCGTTGACAATAACAGATAGTGATATAACAGATATCCTTTTAACAAGAACTTAAAGTATACTGCAACTAATCCTAGCTTGTTCAGCTAATCGACTAAGAAAAAATGACAATAATTCTATAATACTGTCATAAATTATTTCCTCAGACTTTCTTAGACTTGTAAAAATATTCCTGCATTGATGGCAGCCACCTATTTTCTCACCACAATCTCTTTAATTTAAATGACTGAAATCTTAACAACATTTATCTCTCTAAACTTTCAAACACGATGTATTTTTGCAGACACATTACGAAGTTTGAATTTTGCTCGCAGACATTAAATAATAGCTCTGGACACCAGTCCTATAGACCCTACCAGAGAAAACACATAACGTTGGGCCAACAGGGCCGCCGAGAGGGCCCCATGACATCATTATCTTTAAGCTAGACCCAAGTCAGTCACCCAACTAGACCTTAGCTCGATTTCAAAAATGCTCTGACCACTTTAAAGAACCTATTCAATTTTAGGCTCTCGTTCTCAAGTTGGGGCCCTATTAAGGTGGGGGCCCAGGGCAATTTGCCCCCCTCTCGGCAGCCCTGTGGGCCAACATTTCATTCCATTCATAATGTAACACAATATTAAAGGGAAATGGCACCATATTTTTTTATTTTCTCATCAGAACCTTTAAGTACTATTTAAAGCACGCGTAG